CGTGCGGGCCGGGCTGTGCTGCGCCCCGGCCGCGTCCTGAACCGAGGTTCTCCACGAGTCCCAGAAAGTGTGTTGGGTCCTTGGTGTCCACCTGCAGACAGACACCTGTGAGTGGGGTTTAATGGGGTGTCTGACCACAGGAGGAACACGAGGGTGATCCCCGGTGCCAGAGGAGGCTGGGCTCAGGTTCGGCCGGGTTGTTCCCCTCCCTGTTTCTGTCACCTGGGAGGCTGCGTTGAGAGTTCGGGTTTGCTCGGTGTCTCTGGGCAGCAGAGTCAGTGTGGTCGGGACATCGACAGCAGTCAGTCAGGTTTATTTGATGACTCTCTGTTTTGGATTAGTTGGCTACTGCCAAAGAACAAATGGATGGTAATAAAAAACATGACCCACATGGGTTAAATCCCAGACGTAAGCACCTGTTGGCAGAGGTTACCAGGATTTCCTGGCAGCTTGTGTTGTGAGGTTGGGTTTTCAGTTATTCACAATTTTTTTGAATCCAAAACCATTAAGGCTGAATCTTTTCTTCAGTGTTCCTCTGGCTTAAGTACTACCTGAAATGTTTCTTGCTACTGTCTTAAGAAACAAGGATAGTAAGAGAGGCAATGTTTTTATTATTGTGAAGTAATAGAGAATTTTTAGGAATTCCATGGATTGTAAAAGAAGATTTAAAGTCATGCAAGGGAGATCTCTCACTGTGCTTTTCTCTAAAAAAATGATTAAATTACAAGTTTCTGGGTAGAAAGCTTATCTTGTGGGCTTACTAGAGATTTGCAGATGTAGTGTTCAATCTTGGCACCATTGTGTGTACTGAGGATGATCTGTCCTATCTTGTATCTCTTGTGGCACAGGGCATGCATCATGTCTAGAAAACTTCTTAGCAGCCTAAGGTTGTAGAACAGGATATTCCTTGTAGCTATTTCTGTCCTCTAATAGGGATTCCTCTTGCATGAGGCATCTCTGAATTTGGGTGGATAAACAGGCTTCCCAGTGCAGCTCTTATTCCATCTTTTTTGTTTCCTCCCTCTCTAGGTAAGTCTGATGCTCTGAAAGTTGATGAATGAATATTGATTTAAGAAACAATACGAAAATGATAAGATGAGCTCACCCATAGAAAAATACATAAGAAAATTAATCTTTTTTCTAATTTAAGAGTAACGACGTACTATGAGTTAGACCTGTGTTTTTATATTTCTTAACACAGAGCAAAATATTGAATCATCCCTAGTTCAGAAGATACTGTGCTTTTTGTACCTTTAATTTGATTTTGGCGACGTTAAAGATTGTGTACTGTTATGTTGCTATACAGTGTGTGCACAAGTGGTTCAGTTCAGTTGCACAGATTATCTTAATTCAGGCATTTTTTAAACTTTGGAATGCCTTATTGTGCAGGAAATGGGTGCACGTGCCACATGTGCCTGTATGTGAGTGTCCGGCCATCCCTTGCAGTACTGTAGTAGTAGGTTCAGGAAAGAAAAATTGCAACTTCTTACGTAAATGTCCAGATGAGTTTGATTGCAAGAGCAGCTGTACCAGCACAGAGCAAAGCTTCACCTCATCTCCCATCCTGGCCAACAGGGGATGGGAATAAGACTGGCATATAATTGTGTTTCCCCAAAATACACTTTCCGCTTCCAGCGATTTTTGGCTTGAGAGTTTCTAGCAAAATATATTTGAAAAATTAAATAAGACAGCCATTCCCTTTCCACAAGTACCACTGATGTTTTCTGTCAGGTAGCCCAGCTCATACATTGTGATTAAACTCACAGTGGTTATTCCCAGGCTGTGTTTAACTTTTGAGTTTGCTTATTTGTTGAAGATCTGAACAAGGGCTTATGTGCATGAAATATTGTCTGCTTTTCCAGCTATACTCGAATCTGCTGAAATATGTTTTTCTTCATGCAGACTTAAAGGCTGTATTTTTCTATAGGCATTCCTGAACTGAGGTGGACTACTTTGGGGGTCCACTGAAGTAGATATGCTAATGTATATATATTTTGCATTGTATACGTGGCACATAACTTATCCTTTCTTCAAAACATTGCATGTTCAGTTCTGCTACGAGCAAGAAAGAAGGCACATTTTCTTTTGTGGTTCTTTGTTCTAGAATCCTTCATTCAGATTGGTCTGTTTCTATTTTTTAATGTTTACAGTATTTGAAGATTAAAGCAGGGCTTACAAAGCTTGATTAAAGCAGAGCATATTTGCTGGAATGGAATTTTGGAAAAGTAAACTTTTTCAGTATATTTCCTGTTAAGGTTACTACTGAGTCTTGGGGTGTGTACAGGGCACAAGTTGCAGCTAGTACATCTATGAGAAATGAGAATTACAGTAAGTGGGGAGGGGGGATCATTTTTCTATTACTAATTGTTGTACAATGCCAATTTTTAAAATAAATCATATACACCATTTTAGCAGCTGCACAGGTTTTACCTGTTTTGAAACAGGAGGATGCGTGGAGAGTTATTGTTACATAGCAATGCATTTTATTAACAAAGTATTGGAGAATTCCATTTAATTGTCAAACTGGGTTGTTCAGCCCATGGAGAGTTAGTTTCTTGGCCTCCTGAGCCAAGAACTTTTATTTTCTTGTCTGTACTGTCTGGGCTAAAGATCAATCAGAAATTGTGTATATTGCCTCACTTCCAGCCTCGAATAGTTTGTAAATACTGTGTAATATCAATAATATTTTGTACTTTTTCTGGTTTTAACTGTTAAAGAAATATTATGCAAGAGAGATGTTCTTTCAGAATACCATCACTTTCCTTGTCTAACAAACAAATCTTTGCCGGATTATTTCAACACTGTATGCAGCTGCTTATGTTAATGCTTTGATATCTATTGAGCAGAAGTAAGGAATGAAATAGCAAAATTTTCCATCTAATTTGTTGCAGGGTATTTACAACAGGAAAAACTTCTAGCTACCTGCCGTGAATTTATTTTGGAAAGCTCAGATTTGAAGGAATATGCAGAGCACTGTACGGAGGATGGGTTTATTCCAGCCTGCTTGCTGGTGAGTTTGTATTTGCAAAGCAGAAGGTTAACTTGTCTTGCATCCCTGGAAAATAAAATAGAGATTTCTCAGTGTAACAGTTACTTCTCAAATGTTGCTTAAAATGTTTAGTTAGATGGTCACCCCTGGTTTGGGGGGTTTTTTGGCATCCTGTCCTATTAGCAGTTACTCAGTTTCTGGTACTGAATCTTACTAAGAAGCATTTAGGCGCAAAGTATGCAAATTGGTTTCAGCATGTTAAGTTTAGTCTGCTTTATAGCTTTAACGTTGATTTATGGAAGGGTGTCACAAGGGCTTTATTGATTTCAGGGCTGCTCTTGTAATTTATTGGTGATGGCTTTCCTATCCTAGACACAGCAGCCAGTAATGTTCCATTTCAAGTGCATATTAAATATTTAGGTAAACTACCTCAGCTTTTTCTAAGGCTACCTAATTTTGTTGACAAAAACTGTATTTCGGTTCAGCTTCCCCTTTGATCAGTATCATCTGCTTTGTCCCAGGTGAAATGTGGAACTTCAGGTGTGCATAAATACAGTGTATAGCTACATATGTGCATATAGCTAGAGGGTAATTAGATACTTTGCGTTTTTAACATATACAAAATGGAATTTTTAATGCAGCATGCAGATTACAGGGTTTAGATATTGCTGTATATCAATTTTTTAATGTTTATATGTGCATCTTCCTGTTTTCCGTTTCATTCTTCTAATATATCAGTTAGTTATATGGTCTGGGATTTTGTCCACAGTATTCAAAATTTGTGGAAATCTTTTCTGAGATCCAAGGTCTTGATGCACCTATTCAAACAGACAATTGAACTTATTTCATTTACAGTTGTTTAGTCATCTGTACTTTGGGGTTAGGGAACTGAGAGCCTGAGTGGAGGTCATGCAGCTGTAACTGCTATGCCACTGTTGTGCAATGAGATTAAGCACTTCAGATTTTGTGTTCATAATGGCATCTTGTTCCACGGATTGCTCTCTACCTAGTTTGAGAGAGCTGGGCACTAGCAGCATAAAGTACAGTTCCTTGTGTGGAGGGTCAGCATGGTGTAGCCTTCTAAAGACCTGCTTAAATATAATGTGATACAGCAGATGAAGTGTAAGTTGTTAGTGAAGATTCTAAGATCAGTATTTTTTTTTCCCAGTCCCTGTGTGGAAAAAACTTGACAACTATTCTTAATGAGTACGTAGCCATGAAAACAAAAGGTAAGCCTTCAGAATGAGATTTTATTTTATTTTTCTTATCTGTTGTGAACTCTTTGAGGAAGAGGTAATATCTCTGCCTGTATATGGACTTAGAGCAATCCCCCATCTATGCTAGAAGTTGAAGGTATCAATATTATGCAGACAACAGCCAATTAGATCTGCATCTTGTGAACAGAATTAATTGATTATCTTAGTTTGGATTTGCCAGCATATATTTTCGCTTCAAATCTGAGCATAACTTCTAATGTAATAAAGCACAAAAATATCATAAAATCCACAAAACGTAGGGGCTTATGCTTGTAAAGTTATATTGTTGCCTGTTTATACTGTAAATAGGAAGGGGAGGTGCTCATCTCTTCTCTCTGGTGACCAGCGATAGGACACGAGTAAATGGAATGAAACTGTGTCAGGGGAAGTTCAGATTGGACGTTAGAGTCATAGAATACCAGGTTGAAGGGACCTCAAGGATCATCTGGTCCAACCTTTTTTGGAAAAAGCACAGTCCACACAAGATGGCCCAGCACCCTGTCCAGCTGAATCTTAAAAGTGTCCAGTGTTGGGGAATCCACCACTTCCCTGGGGAGATTATTCCGATGGCTGATTGTTCTCATTGTGAAAAATTGCCCAATCACAATCTCCCCAGGAGAAACTTGTACCCATTACCCCTTGTTTTTTCCATGTGACTCCTTATAAAAAGGGAGCCTCCACTTTCTTTGTAGCCACCCTCTAAGTACTGGAACATGGTCATGAGGTCTCCCCTAAGCCTTCTTTTCTCAAGGCTGGACAAACCCAATTCTCTCAGCCTTTCCTCACATGGCAGGCTTCCCAGTCCGTTGGTCATCTTTGTGGCCTTTCTCTGGACCCTTTCCATCCTGTCCACATCTTTTTTTGTATAGCAGGGACCAAAACTGAACACAGTTTTCCAGATGTGGCCTGACAAGTGCTGAGTAGAGTGGGATAATGACATCTTTATCTCTGCCCTTGTTGGTGCAACTCAGCATCTTGTAAGAAAAGGCTCTTCCCTGAGAGGGTGATCGGTCACTGGAACAGGCTCCCCAGGAGAGGCGTCATGGCACCAAGCCTGTCAGAGTTCAAGGAGCGTCTGGACAAGCTTTTAGTCATGTGGTTTGGTTTTAGGTAGTCCTGCGAGGAGCAGGGGGTTGGACCTTATGGATCCCTTCCCACTTGAGATATTCTATGATGCTATGAAATATCCAGGAAGAGTCCTATGATGTGAAATGTTTCTTGTCTTGTTTTTAAAACTAATTAAAATAATTTCAGAATGACAATATTTTGTCTGAATATTGGAGATAGAGTAAGAGCATTTCCTGTTTTTAAAAGCAGTTATTGAGCTTCTGAATGTTGCCAAGTCTCACAATTGTTTGATACATGTTGTATCATCAGATTTTAGTGGTTCCAAGACTTGCAATTTAAGACATACCAAGTTTGGAACATTCCTGAATGGTTTTTTTTCCTTTCACACTAGGTTTGGTGACTTAGAGACAAACATACTTTCTTCAAAATACTTTGTACTTGGCACTTTGAAACACTTAATAAATTCATCTGCTTACATCTTCCCATTGATACTTTAATGTTCTGTGATTCAAAAATACCAAGTGTTTTTACCTGTTCAGGTGACATTTTAAAATAAAACACTGCTTTTAAAGTCTTGTCTGGCAGGCTACAATTTTCAAAAGTGTGCAAGCAACTTGGGAATTTTAATACCATGCCCCTAGAAGTGAGTTAGGTTAGGTTAGTGTCTGTTTGCCCAGGAGTCAACACCATGTGCAGATTCCTTTGAGAATTATCATCATGAATGTCTTTGCCTCAGTTTCATTTAGGCTTCTAAAACTTGAGAACTGTATCCATGAGGAGTGTGTGTTCATATCAGAGTTCTTAAATTAGGAGTTAGGGCTCTCTAATTAATAGAATATAAAGATGGTGACTAGACTCCTAAAGTTAGATGATGTCTGAAACAATAATTATTTTGCTTGTGATTTTACTTTTTCCTCAACATGCCTCTGGTTTAGGCATCTAATTTTTTTTTTTAATGGTTTATTTTAGAAACAACAAATGAAGTTCCAGCAATGATGTCATCTCTATGGAAAAAATTAGACTATACACTTTCACAGATCAGGTAATATAGTTTTGAAATCAAGAAAGTAAAATTTCCCTCTACAAGTGAGTGCCTATGTTGATCAAGTCTCCTTGTCATTGTATGAGAGTGGTTTTGCTTTCTGTTGCCTCTGAGAGACTGTGAAAAAGATAAGTATGTGAGAGTTGATAGTTGAGTGGACATTTCAAGATTTTAAGGCAGGACTAGCAGATGAAGAGGGCATTCGTGTGAGCATGTGGCCTTCCTATAATAAAACAATATACTATGACTCATTTAGAATCTGATACCATTGTGGTTAGTTGATCAAAAATATAACAGTAAACTTCATTTGAAGGATCTGTGACCATTGTTTGAAAGAATACAAATAACTATCAGTTGATTAAAGCTTTCTGAAGTAATGTGTGGTTGGGACCAGACTGACATTAACCATATGATAGATACTGTCGCACTGTGTAGCTGAGCGTTTCCATTGTGCTCCTTTTATTCATGTCACCTGCTTTATTTTTTAGGAGCATGCAGAATTCCACAGGATTTTCTGCTAATCAAAGGAGTAAGTAACTGAGCCAATTTTGTGGGATCAATGGGGTCTATGTTCAAGTTATCTGTTTTGGCAAAAAATTTGGGAATGCTGGATCAATCAGTAACGCATCCTTACTCTTAAAATATTGTCAAATATGTTCTCCAGTGGTTTTTTTCAGCGTGTCTGTTGTCTTCAGTTCAGTCTATGGATTATTGTAATGGTCAAGAAAGGAAAATAAGAAAAGCTGAGCTTTTTGCAAGGGGCTTAAATTCTCTAGATAGCATTTTAATTCTCTACATAGCACTTAATTCTCCAGATAGCATTTTTTAGCATTCTCTATATAGCATATTTTCTCTGCTGAAAACTTTTTAGAAGTTTACATGGTTAAAAGGTTTAAAAAATGCTGTTGACTTAATTTGCGGTTCATAGAGGAACTGAAAGCATAACTAATTAGTTAGGATGCAGTTTCATTTCCGTAGAAAGAGAGTATAAAACGTATTACAATCTTGAAACATGTTTTTTTTAACGCATACAAACATACATCCAAGCAAAATATTAAAAGGTACTTGTTCTATCCATAATTGTTTTTTTCATTACAAAAACTGCCAAATGAACTCTCAAAAAAGTTATTTCACTTAAAAATAATTTTTTCTCCCTTTAGTACTTCTACTGAGTAACCTCTGTGATAAAAGAGAATGTGAAATTCAGGTAGTGATTGTTCTTGGATCCGAGATTCACTGGATTAGGTGGTGTTCTGTTTAAATTTGTTCTCTTTAGTCTGATAAATAAAATGCAAACTTACATCGGTTTAGCTGTTTCAGTTAAAGGTCAATTATATGAGTGGTATATTATGTAATGAAATATAATTTTTGTATGATTTGTGCCTGTAAATATTTAAGCAGTGATACAAGCATGGCGACAATGGCTGTGTAAGGTGGCTGTACGTGAATTATTTTGGCTCAAACCTGTCACACATAAGAGAAAGATGGATGTTGCTTACTTTTTGAATTTCATTAGTTAATTATTGATGCACAAAACAGTTTCAATGGAGCATCTTAATTAGGTCTTGGAAAATCAGCAACCTATTTAAATTCCTTTATCATATGTATATTTTCATCTTGTCTTTATTATCTCCAGCACGTACAAGAAGTGGAATTGTAGAAATGAAAAGACAGAGAATGCTTCAGCAATCAGCTCCTGCAAACTCAGGATTGTTGTCAGTAGCCCATCAGTCAGGGCCACAGAATTCCTCTTCCATTGCACCTCCTCAAGTTATTCATAGGCCAGCAATGAGTCAAAGCATGTCACAGACAAGAGTGAATACATTGTTTGTGCACCCGTCACAATCCCAAGAAAACAAGATCACCAGTAAGTTGCACACTTTTTTAAACATTTTTTCTGTGAAAAATCTGTGGATTTTTCCACCAAAAAAGTGGAAAATAAATGGCTTTATTCCCCTAGCTCTCCAAACTGCTTCAGGTGATTTAAATAAATAGCTCTTGCCTACTTGCTTCCTAATGCGAGTTCAAAGCTCAGAAGTGCATTAATTTGTCATTATTCTACCCTGTGTTCTCACCCTCACCCAAGTCACTTGTTTTAGCAGATAAGGGTGATCCACATCAAGTGGATGTTTTTCTTAGGATACATTTAAAAATAAATGGTTCTCATTGTCATGGCAATCCCAAATTATTTTGTATGAATTCCCAGGAACTGATTGGAACATAATAAGTAGTGTGTGGATTTCTGTAGTGCTTTAACAATGTCGCTGGAAAAGGTACTGGCATTATGACCTCTTTTTTTCCTTTATAAAGCAGGAGATTTCATACACATACAAGTTCCAGCATCACAAGAACGAAAGCTTCATTCAAACTTGCTTTCTCCAGGAAGACGAAAAAGGTAAACATGGGGGTTTGGGGGTTTTTTGTTTGTTTGTTTTTTTAAAATTGTTCAGAGATTACGCAGTGTTCTAACCTCTAGTGTAAATTTTCTTAGGTGGTGGAGTGTTTCACACTTTAGATCTACTGAGAGTGGCCAGTGTGTGATGTTGCACAAAGGAAAGGAATGTCCAACAACTTCACATTAGATGGATAGGAGGCTACTTGTGCTTCTTTATTGCATATGGCCAGTTTTTATGTTATTTCAATGTTAGACATATGCAAATAATCTTGGAGCCTGAGTATTCCTTACAAAATATCCTTATCAAGGAAATCACCGTGATTTCATGTAAAAGCAGTACATTTCCTATTCATCATCTAAAATTCATATGCAGCCTAACATTGGTTTGTTTCTTTGACAGCAGCTGTTCCTTGAGAGATCTTTATTTTCAGTGGTAAAGCCCAGATCTTTTTCTTGAATGGCAGTTAATTAGTTAATTAACCTGTAATACCAGTTAAAGTAACTTCTAGTGGATGGGGGGGGAAATACTGAATAGTGGGCATGGAATTCAATTTGCCATTGTGCTGTTTACCCGCGGTCTGTGGATTTCCTTGTAACCTGTATGAAGTCAGACACAATATATGCATACGACATAACGAAACGTGTCAGCTTTTATTGCTTTTCCAGTATGTAATTAATTTTCTGTTGATTAAAATCTTTTGTTTGCTAAGAAGAAAGAGAAACACCTAATTCACTGGCCATTAGGTCTATTGTTTGCTATGTTTTCACAAAATACATCATAAATTTCCTGGAATGTTTCAGTGAATCTCAGAAGAGGAAAAGTATTGCAACATCTGGACCTCTTTCAGTGACCATAAGTTCTCAAGACCCTGATGAAGTATTAATAGAAAAAGAAAGTGAGCCACTTGAAGAACTCATAGATGGTAACTTCCCAGTGAGTATATACTTGTGGAAGGCATTTGCATTCAAGACATAAATTCAGACTAAGGAGTAGTAGTCTTTTACATGTTGTTTGTCTTTGGTATTATAGAAGTTAACTTTAAAAGATAAATTTATTGTTTTGTATTTGAAGTAGCTCTTCTGTGAATTTAACTAGTGAGGATGACTTGGCTATGTAGAGGGTTTTTTCCTTGATTTATTTGCTTTGCTAAGGAACCTGTAAGCTGTCAGAATAAAGTACTTTTTTAGAGAATGGAAACTAGAAAGCACAATAAGCCTTGCTGTACTTTAGGAGAGCAAAAGTACAGGAATGTTTTAGGATGATTCTCGTAGCAATGTCGTGCAGTCAGAGATTAGCTGTCTCACTGTCACAGTGTTCTCTCTGTTTAATTGGGGTTTTTTAAGCATTAAGGTGGAAATTCATGCCCAGTGATAGAAACTTGACCAGTTTAAAACTGTTTTCCAGCAACTGGTTATTGAAAATGCCAGAGAAAAAATCTTGAGCAACAAATCTCTTCAGGAGAAGCTTGCTGAGAACATTAACAAGATCCTGAGCAGGTAATAAAAGGAAACTATAAACTTCATACATATTCTTATTTGATTTATTTTTGAGTTCTGAACTAATGCCTAATGTGTTCCAGTGATGGCAATGTTGCTCAGGCTCCTAAACAGACAGACAGTGGTCCCACGGAACAGGAGACTTCAATTGATGAAATCCTTGGCCTTCAGGTAGGTGTGGGTTGCCCTGTTTACATTTTTTGAAGACCAGGCACATGAGAATGGTTGGTTATGGGAACGATGGTGAACCTCCTTCTACTGTCTGGTATCTGAGATTGCTCTCCTCTTTCTCTTCTTTATTTTTTGTTTGTTTTACAATACAGCTAAGCCTGTGTAATGGCCAGTTTCTGCCATGGGCAGTTCCACAACTTGCATAGGCATTAGCTCTTATCTTGTTGTGTGGTGGTGGGCAGGCTCAGGGAGCTGAACTGACAGCATACTAGTATTTTGCTGGGGTTAATTTTGAGCCAGTTAAGCACTCTGAATTTGTTCCCAGTGCCTGTACAAGGCAACATAAGCATGCAGCAGGGTCAAAAGCCAAGGGAGTAGCTTCTGGCAGTGGTTAGCTGTTAACATTACCCACAGACTGAGATCGAAGTACACTGTCCTGCAGTCACCAGCTGCCTACAGATCCCTGGATCCAGATCCCTGGATCTTTGGTACCAATAATTGAGTACCAGCTTCTGACTGGGGATCTGATCAATAGCCTTGTAAAAGAAAAAGGAATTTAAAATATCTTGTGGTTTCCAAACTTGGTCTGATCTGATTTTCTGATTTGCTGTAAGATAAACATGGATTGTCTACTATAGCAAGAGAAATTGTCTTTGGAGCCTAAATAAGAAGTCTTTTTCTTCAAATATAGTATTTTCTTGCTTTTGGAGGAAATGAACTTTCTACTTCTACAAACTACGACTTCTAGTGTTCTCCCTTCATTCTCTCACAGCCCTCAAGCTGGCAATCACAGAGTTATAAAGGGCTCTTAATGAGGAAATTAGAATCTTCATGGCCCTTATGAAAAGGGAGGAGAGTAGAGGTAGTTGCCTGCTTACGATGGAGAGGTGTCTGGTTTTTAAAAGCTATTATTCTGTCGCTTGGCGATTTTTAGGTCAATTTTTATCAAAATATGGAGCTGAAAAGCTGTATTCCATTTTTCTGAGCATAATTATAGAATCATAGAATGGTTTGGGTTGGAAGGGACCTTAAAAATCATCCAGTTCCAACCCCCCTGCCATCAGCAGGGACACCTTCCACTAGATCAGGTTGCTCAAGGCCTCATCCAGCCTGGCCTTAAACGCTTCCAGGGAGGGGGCAAATCAAAGCAGAAGAAAATCAAAGCAGCTTCTTAGTTTAGTTAGAGTAGCTAAGGCAAAATAATCAAGCTTAACACATGGGATATCCAGCCTTACAACCACCATATCAAAAGTTGTAGAGCGCTTAGAGGATCTCAAGGAAGTCAGGGAAACTTTGTCTTTGAGCGCTTGAATGTGTACGGGGTGTCCCATTCATTTTCTTCCTGGGCTGCTACCAAACCAGTCAGCTTGAAACAGGAACCTTAGAGCAGTGTCCTATGTAGCTGTGCCTTCCACAGAAAAGCAATTGGAAGTTATATTACAGAACATGTAGTGGGTAAATGAACCTTTGCTTAGCATTGTCTTCCAGGGTTGATTTGGGGATTTATTTTTTTTTACCAGTGGTTGGCTAGTGCAGGCTCACAGCGTTTGTACCATCTGCATAAGCTTCCAGTGTAGCCCAAGATTTATCCTTTCTTAAACACTGCTGGTCATTGTGTGCAGAATATTCCAATATGCATGTGCAGGGTGTAATGTCTGACACAGATGTTCAGTTTTGGGGGACTTTATTTCTTAAACTTCAATCAATAATATTTTTAAACATTTGTGTCAGTGTGTTTCCAGCGTTAGTCTTTTATGTTTCTGTGCTGAGCAGAAATAATAGAACTAAAACCAATCTGAAAACAATTCTTGTCTGTTTTTCTTCTAAGCTATGAAAGTAACTGTCTAACAGTTCTGTATATCTTGTCTTTTCTCAGGGTGAAATTCATATGTCAGAAGAGGCCATACAGGACATTCTAGAACAGACAGAATCAGATCCAGCTTTTCAGGCACTCTTTGACTTGTTTGATTATGGTAGGGTATATTAAACTCTGTACCATTACTATAAAGCATCATGAATGATGAATTTTCCTAAGTATTCCTTGAAGAAGCAGAAGTTACTCAGCAGGCCTCTTTTGCAGGAGAAATGGGCTGTACAGCATCTGTGTCCCTCAATTCAGAATTGTTTTTTTACATATATCTATACATGACTATAAATGCTACATATACAGCATTTTCTTGTGGCTGAAATTCTGGTTTTGTGCTGGCTCAGTGATTATTTTACTCCTGTTATTTTAGACTCTTCTCGTCTGAAGGACGATAGTACATATTTGTTTTTCTATGCTGTTGTAATTTTTTTCTATTTTTTTCAGGGATATCCTCACATAAAATATAATGATGCTTTAACACTATTTCTGGATTTGTAATGAATATAAACAAATGGCTCTTTGATTTTAGCATGCCATTTCTTGAATTTGAAATCTCCATGCTTTATTTAAGATGTAATAATCACATTTGTGTGTAAAATTACATATTTAATCATTCTTCATGCTTTATTTTGAAAATAGGAAAGAGCAAGGTAAACAAGAACTTACCTGCTGGTATTTCTGGTCAGAGTGGAGTAGAAAATGCGATCCTGGTGGAGGAGAGTAACCTGGAAACACTTGAAAGTTCTTTAGGAACAGAAGAAACTGGTAGATGTAGGTGGTTTTGGTTTTATATTTTTCTTTAAGATCTCTTCTAGTCTGTTTACTTTTCATTATGAAAATATTTTCAGACAACTTGTACATTTCAAAATATTTCTGTTTTCAATGGTAATATCCAATCTGACATTTACATTGCTTGAACATATGGATATACCTAGTCTGTTAGAAAGTTTCAGTCTGTTAAATTTAAGAGTAGTTCATCAATGTACTTAGAAGTTTTATTTGGTAAGTTCCTAAATGAAACCTGAAAATCTGTAAATCTGTTTTCTCATTCAAAGCAGAGATACTTTGCAGTATTCATCGTGGAACACACAAAGATAATATTTTACATCTAACCATATCAATCTTTTCTCTCTATTCTGTAATGTATTGGTTAATTAATATATACAAAAAGATTTACTCTGGATAAAAGGTGTGTTTAGTCTGTTCTTAACAATAGTCCATCAGTAGCAGATATTTAGTGAAAGTATATGAGAAATAGAGCCAAGAGGTCTTTGTCCTGAAATACTTTTTGTGCTTCTGGAAATTTGGTTTGGTGACATGAACTGTTTGCTTATTATGTGTACACTTAGTATTTATGTACAGACTGATTTGCCAGGTTGGCTAATGTATGTAACCATATGTTTCATATACTTTGCACTCAGCCTGAAAGTACATATGAGTAGCATTATTCCCACTTAGTTTTGTGTGAAGCAGTTTTCCATTGAACTGATAAGTTGCTTCTAAAATGTTGTAAAAGGATCATCTGTTCTAATAATTATGGAACTAATTTATTCTCCGTTTTACAGGTGATAATTCTAGAGAATCACTGTCCTGTAAAGGTTTTCAGATAGCAGAAGCATCATGTGCCTTGAAGACCAGCGTTAATGATGTTGATATGGCTAAGAAAAATACAACCAGTGAACAGCTGCATGGAAATTGTAGACCAAGGAAGGAGACTGAAGTACTTAAAAACGTTACCCCTGAACATACTGGAGAGCTTGAAATCGCTTTTGAATCCGTGCCTGATTTGACGGAACCTGACAAGAGACAGAGTTCTGATGGTGAATGTAATGAACGCTGTGGAGATTCTTATGACAAAAAAGAGTTGTCTGCGTTGGTATCTGAGAGTGAAAGAGCTGTGGAAATTGAAAAAGGCCCACTAAGTCATAGTGCTCAAAGTAGTCCTAATTTAGAATATGTTAATTCTGGTAGTCCACAAATTTCTTTGATTTCATTGGCAGAAGGTACTACAGCCAGTGAAAACAAAACACATCCTGGAAGTAAATGTCACTTATCACCAGATACATCACAATCTGAAAAAACACTTACTGCAAGCCCTCCTGATGGGAGCCCTGGACAGAGTCTGCTGCTGGGAAAAAACGGTTCATCAGTTGCTAGCCCATCAGCAGACACAGGAAAAGAACAGGCTGTGACAAATGATACAGCTGCCTTACCTGGTATTTTGCAGGAGAACTCTAGCCACCACTCTAACCTTCAGGAACAGAGTACACAATCAGACTGTGCTGCAAGATCTGCAGTGAAGATTCTGGATCTTGACAAAACAGAGTTGCAGCTTGAAGTTGTTGATACTTCTAACAAAACTTATTTGAATGATCAGCATACAGTTGATAAGCCTTGTAAGAAAGATTTTAACCTTGCTTCAGGACTGACAAACTCAGATGGAACACAAGGGGAAATGCAAGAACCTTCATCTTCTACAAAAGTAGATGCTGATAATGTTTATTTCTCTTCTGGTGGCGGTGCATGTACAGAAATTTCTGTAGTATCCACTGAAAATAATCTTACTACATCTGAAATATGCCACTCTCCTCTCCCAGAAACTGCATCCTCAACAGAAGAGTCAGGTACTGAGGCCAAAAGTATCAGCGGTGTATCTTCGAGTAGTCAACCGATGGATGTTGATCCTTCTAATATAATGTCCCTCAAGATTATCATCAGCGATGATCCATTTATTTCATCGGACACGGAGTTAAATAATGCTGTTTCCAGCATCACAGGAGAAAATTTGCCAACTATAATATTGTCTTCTCCAGCCAAATCCCCAACCAAAACTGCAGGCCTGTCCAAATGTCTGACTTCAGAAGACACAGAAAAAAATGTGGATTCAGCTTTGGCAGAGCAGAATCTCCTTGTGCTTCGACCGAAGGATCCTGTGGTCACTGCCGTTAACACTCAGAATGAAGACGGCGCTGTGTTTTCAGTTGCAGGTACAACTAACCTTTCCAAGGAAGGGGGATTTATACAGTTGATGCCAGCAACAAGCACAGCTTTTGGGAATTCAAACAACCTTTATATAGCCACCTGTGTGACTGATCCGGGCACCTTGGGCACAGCTGTGACACCATCAAATGTAGTTGTGCTGCCTGGCAGTTCTATGCCACTTGCTGCCCAGGCTCCAGTTGTGCAACAGTTACGGACGCCTCCGAGATCCAGCAGTACATTTGCACCAAACCAGACTGTCTCCCCAAACTTCCCACAAGGTAATCTTGTTACTAGAAAATAATGGAAAGTGTGTTTATATAGCATTTTTATTCTTTTTCTGAAAGTGCATTAAAAGTAAACAATTTTTAAACACTGGTCTGTCTGTCCCTTGAAACTAGCCAGGAGTTACACGCTTTTGAAGTATACCAGTTGCTACTAAAAATGGAGTAAAAACTACAAGGAGCCATTGACCAGGCTGTTTTGGAAAACGTATTTTCATATTTCAGAAGCTTAAATTAGATAATTTTATCAGTGATAAATTTAGGAAGCATATTTTGGCTTACACTAGGAGAGCCCATTGTTTTGGTTAAGTAAAACAGGGTTTTTGTGTTTGTTTTAATAAAATTACCGTTATAAATAGAATGCTATGTGTTATAAGTATCCATATTTAGTTTAGATAACTGTTTAAATGTAGATAGTCCTTCCAAAACTACTTCTGTGTTTTGTTTTGTTTCATATTCAAAAAACCTGTCCTACACTAGAAATACGTTTAGACAAAAATGAAAGCATTCCATTATTTCTTTCCATAAAATAAAATCTCGCCTGGTAGAAGCATTTTTATTGCTGCAGCAAGAAAAAAATGTAAGTGCTTTTTATGTTAAACCTGACTATAAACCAGCTGTAATCAACACATAGAGATTTATTTTCGAAACTAAAAACTTGTTGCATTTATCCTTGAATTTCTGTGTGTAGTCTTTTCATTGTGGTCAGAGGCCAGTGCAACAGTACGTGTGAGATCTTAAGAGCGCCGACCTTTTCTGTCATCAGGATTTCTTTATGCAACTGGTATCGTCATGTTTTTTCATAGAGAGAGAAGCAGAAGTTTGCCCATTAATCTGCATTTGATATTTTTCCTGCTACTGCTCTTGTATCTGAGGAACTGAGTGGAATAAATTTTTCTTTCACTTTTGAGATTGTTCTTCCACTTTCTAATTAATATGCTGTAATATGTTGTTTCCCTGTTTTATAATTCCTGCACGTGTGATGCGTGGCAGCCGGACGCTCTTACAACCTGTGAGAATAACTGTTTTAAAACAGCCGTTTTAACAATGGTTTAAATAGGAAACTTTGGCTTAAATATTACAAATTAGTCTTACTGTGCGTTTTTGGTTGGTTGTTTTGTTGGGTTTTTTAAAATAATTAATCTCAAACCTACTAATGAATTAGCTTCTTTGTGTACTATACATTTAACACCTCCTACCAGCCAGGAGTACGTTAGATACCTGTGTGCAGACAAAGCTAGGCTTTCCCAGCTTGCCACGTGTTTGTAAGGGGAAGGTGTTATGGGTGCACTGGAAGAAAAAAAATAGTCTCCTTATGACTTTTGAGTATGTTAATTTTGGAGAATAGGGTGCAAATAATAGTTTGCTGCTTAGTTCTTACTAAGCAGCAGAATAAGGTATTTGATGTTACTTTTACTGGTTTTTTTAAATCACTTTAATTCAAAGTTCAAACCTTAACCTAGGTTCGTCATACTTCAAGCTTAATTTTGAACTATTCCTTAAAAAGGAGAACAGACTTTAACTAAAGAATTGGATATAAACTGAAGAGAACACTGGTACTTACCATATTTTCTAGTAGTAATGTGTAGTAAGGACACTGAAGTTTTTCTAAAAAGCCAGAGCTTTTCTTGCCATAAGTTTGACCCTGAATAATTTTAAGAAATCCTGTCTTGAAGCTTTTCTGTTCACTGAAGTATTTTTAGTTTCTGTACTATTTTAACACTTTGGTATTTTTTAGGTTCTGCCATTATAATTGCATCTCCAGTGCAACCTGTTTTGCAAGGAATGGTGGGAATGATACCTCTCTCCGTAGTAGGACAAAATGGAAATACGTTCTCAGCACCTGCCCGCCAGGTAGCACATCACAAACAAAGCTTTTCAGAATTAAAGCTCAAATGGTAAGGAATCTTTTGGTAAATTGTAATGGAATATTTTGATTCTTTCAAGGTTCTCCATATGCCTGTGGCTAACCCAGTGTGCAACAGAAGCGTCCCAAAACTTCCCATCCCTCCCAAATCACAAAAGATCCCTGGAGCAAGAAACAAGACTAACACAGGTACCCGCCTTGCATTCTTGAGAAGAGCAGAAAAGAAGTGGGAGTTCTAAAGACATGTCAGTTCTGAGGAATAAAGTTTTATAAATTCCAGGGCTGCTCTGCCAGGTCACTGCTGGGATGGCTGTGAGAGAGGCCTGTATCTGCAGTTGGTAACTGTACTTGTGCAGTTTACAAAGAAGAACTCTCAGCATATAAAATAATTCCAGATTTAGGATCAAGCTTATTTCCAAAATTTTAATGTTTCAATGATGTAATGCAGTTTTAAAAGTTTACTTTTCTTTATATTTCTGATAATTTTTCATTTTGTTGGTTGTAAGTACAGTTTACTGCTGCCATTGAAACCAAGCCACATGGTAACAAAGGAGTTATTAGAAGAGTCAGTGATTCTAAACATTTATTAAGGGAAATATTTAATAGAAGTGTTGCAAAAAATGCACTCTGCTATCTGTTTTGTCTTTGCCATTTCAGGTGTGTTTTGTATATTCATTTCATTGAGAGCTTGTTTCTCTAAATAGTAAATTGAAACAGGACTGGAGTTACATTCATTTCTCAGTGTTGGGAGGGGGTAAAGCAAAATAATTGAAAGTAAGAAAGAAATTGAGTTATAAGGACAACTTGTGCTTCAGCCTAGCTACCTTTTTTAAAAAGAGTAGGCTAACACATGAAGATAGAAACAGAATGAAGTTGCAAATTAAGAAAAAAGCTAGGATTGTATGGTTAGTCTGCATTCTGGTTTGCTGATGGATAACTGAGAGTTCCCTGTGGTTATTTCCCTTCTACGTGGAAATCCCCACTGTGCATTTTTAAGTCCAGCATAGTTGGTTTTGTCTTGCCAGACCTACCTGTTATCCCAGTGTAGACAGCAAGCTGCTTGTTTGTGCTGAGTTGGTGACCTTTGCTAAGCTATTAATCTGTAAACTTCAAAATTACCAAAAAAATGAAGAGTCTTGTTGCTGGGTTTTTCTTTATTGATTCCCTGTCAAGTGAAATGTCATTGTACTAACAGTGAGATGATTTACGTGGAGCATTGTACTTGATTAATACTTCATCTGTTGTTCCAGGAAAACTGGTACCAGGTGTAGCTGAGCCTTTGAACCATACAAACCCTCGAACACAAAGGTTGGTAGCGCTGGGTATTCAAACTTGCTTTCTTTTTCCTGCCATGAATTTCTTCGTACAGTGTTGGTGGAGAGGAGAGCAGCCTTTTTTAACAATGGCATAAGCAGTGCCCCTTTTATGTCCTCCTGTCTATCTGCCAGGAGCATTGATACAGATGTGTGCTGGTACTGGGGCAGCCTGTGCTAGAATTTTGCTGTCACTGTTCCCAGGTTCATTTTGTATGGCTTTGTGTTTATTTTCTCCTGTCTCATTTGTCAGATGAAAATTGAGCAGAGTCTAAGGTAGGAGAAATCGCCTGTTATATTTACTAGGAGATTTACTAGGAGATTTTAATGACTAAACCCCCCCCCCCCCCTTTCCTTTTCAGTTGAGTGGTACCCCTGGTTTTGTAGGACAGCCTCATTACCTTTACTACTCCCTGGCCCAAATCCAGTAGAGCTTGTGAGATTGGGTTCTGCATCTGTTTCAGCTCTGCAGATGAGAACACTCTTTGGTCATTTATAAAGTAAAAAGTCAGAGGAAAGATGGCGAAGAGAACAGCATGCTAACTTTATATTGATGAATACAACTTAATTAGTGATTGGGACAGGCACTAGTTTTCTGTGGGGTGAGTGAGAGAAAAGAAAGCAAGGCTTCAGTAGGAACTCTCCTTATCATTAATGGACATAAGAAAGAAAAGGATGTTGGAATGAGCAAAAGAATATGGGAGGAGGTCAGTTTAAATATTACAGGTGAAACATTCTTTTATTGTAAAAATAAAACATACTTAAAAAAAAAAATCTGCCTGTTCAGAACTCAGTTAAAATGTTGGAAGAGTGGAAGAAAACAGGAATAAATTCAACTTGTTAAAAAAAAAAAACAAAACAAAAAAGTCCACACACACACAAAAAAAAAAACCCAAGGTATACAGTATACCTGCATGCAAAAATTAGTGATTTTTAAAAAGCCACAGAAGCAAGATTTTGGATAATATCGCTTTGATAATCCAGCTTTCTGTTAATTTTAATTGATCTTCAGACGTATGTTTTGCACAGCAAAGAGAGCAAAATGTTCCCTGTAAAGGGATGTAATTTTTCATTTCTGCTCTCTACCCTGTCTCGTCTCAAATTCCACGGAAAAAGAACAAACTGCAGCCACCCAAACCCTCTTTACCATCCCAAAGTTAATTTGATTTTTCCTCTTACAAACCTTAAAGGCTTATCTGCATGAGGAGGATCTTGCTAGCATAGATGAAGATGCAGAAGCCTCTCCTGGAAATGCAGCGATAAGGCAGGAAGAGGGCACAGATATAACAGTGGCACGAGCTGACAGAGCAGACACATTTTTCTTTGGACATCACTACAGTGCAGTGGTGTTTTTTTCACCCTAGTGTGGCTGGTTGTCAGGTGGAGACCAAGCCCTGGGGCGTTAGTATGTTCTTGTCCAGAGGCCCATTGAAAGTTTTTCGTCTGGCTCTGTGTCCCATCACCTACAGCAAATGCATGGGGGAGAGTAAAAGGCATGAAGATGGTGATACTGCCCAGAATATTCTGGCAACCTCCTAGCCGTTTCAAGGACTTCCAGAGCCACAACCAGTATTCTGGGATGGACTGTGCTGTTGTGAATGCACTCAGTTTCTTTTTGAACTCAAGTAAGCTACCAACATCCACAAATAGCCCAGGGTAAAAAAAGGTCCCAGGCTTAATTACATGCAGTGTCCAAACCTCCTTGTTTTGTTTTGCACCTGATACCACTTTTACTTGATGCCCCTAGTTCTTCTGCTGGAAGATACAGCAAATGGTTTCCTTTTTGTTGGTTTCTTTTTCCCAGAGCTCTGTTGCATTTCCCCTCGAGTCATCTCTCTTTCTAGGCTGAAGAGCCCCGATCTACCTAATTGTTCTCTTGACAGACTCTGTTTCATACCTTTTTTTCATCCTTTTAGGCCTTTGAGCTTTCTGCAGTTGTCATCCTTTACTCTTGGTCTTTGTGTGTTGATAAAATATTTAGATTTAGAGAAAGCAGGGAGCTTTAAACAGGTGTTTCGAGGGGTGGGTGGGGACTTCCAGCCAGCTGAAATGAACTTGCCTAGTAAGAACAATTATGTTGCTGAAGTGTTTTCATTGCATTTTCAGGACTGGAAATTCAGACAAGCTTATCACTGCAGAACTAGGAAGGAAAGCGGAGGAGAATTTACCTGTTGCACCAGTAGAAAGCACAAGCTCAAATTCAAGACAAAGTGAAAGTCACAGGAGAGTGCTTTGCTTTGATAATGTCCTACCTGCTCCAGGAGGAAACACCCAAATTCAGACTACTAAGAGTTTATCCCACAAAGAAAGAAACGAAAATGCTTTATTTGCTGTTGACTCTGCATCATCCTCTGCTAAGGCCCAGGTAGCAAAGAGAGAGAAAGATAAAACATTGCCTAGAATTCTGTGTAAGCCAGAAGTCAGTAGCAACAGAAGCACATCTGCAAAGGAGCCACAGCCCGAGCGGAAGGTGGCAGCTGCAGGGCTTCCATTAGATCCCTTCCACAAGACGACAGCAAATAAAGAAAATGAATTGCGAAGGGACGCTGATGAAAAACAGAAGAGCCAGGACACTGCCAAGCTCTCAAACGGCCAGCAAAGTGTTAGCTTATGGAATGAGAAGACAGTTGCTTCGGTGCAAGAGCTGAACAAAAAGCAAGGGTCCTTGTCCAATGGGACTGGCAAATCTGCCGTCTCCGTTCCTTTGTCTTCAAAGGAACCGAAGCGAGAACCGGCGAAAGTTCCCAACCAAGGCCTCTGCCTGTCCAGTCCCTTCGCTAAACAATGTGTGGAAATGCTGCAGGACATCCAGTGGCACAGCCCGACTAGTAAAACAGTTGAAAACGGAGAACTGCCAGTACCCCGTACGCCGTCCGGCGTTGAGGACAGGCATGCGGATGACACTACAGACAGCGTACGGACACCGACCTGCCGGCGCTTCAACGAGGACAGCGCCACCCCTAGGATAATGGTTCCCCCCGCTACGCCAGACCTGCCTGCCTGCAGCCCGGCCAGTGAAACGGGTAGTGAAAATAGTGTCAGTATGGCTGCTCACACGCTGATGATCCTCTCACGGGCGGCTATTGCACGGACTAGCACTGCAACCCCCCTGAAGGACAATACTCAACAGTTCAGATCTTTGCGGAGCGCAGTAAAGAAAAGGAAACTTGAGGACTTGAATGAGAGTGAGAGAAATTCTCGTTCTGCAAATAGGAAAGACCTTCAAAGCTCTCCAACACCTTCAAAGAAGAAGAAAATAAAGGCAAGTATAGGCACTTACTTTTACTTTAAAATTCTAAATATATATTGGACATCTGTGTGTATATATATTATAAATAATGGGATGATTCAGAGGTGCTGATCCAACTCCCCATCATCTTATTTGTATTTGTCAGTTTTATTAACTTTGCCTCTTGAGCCTACTCTGAACTAACAGTTTTGTTAAGATCAGCGTAGTTTTAAGATACACACAAGTAACTACTGGCTCCCTGCACGTACCTGTGAAAATCACATTATTTCCCTTAAAACATGAATGAGTTTCTAAATTCTAACTTGAATCTAAGTTACTATGTGGAATGTAGGAATTAGGCCAAAGTCAAACTAGGCCTTACTAGAATTCAAGTTATTCTTATGTTTACCACCAGGACTAGGAATCCACATTTTGTGCATTCCCAGTCTCTGTAGTCTACAGCACCATGCCCTTGACTTCAGGATTCGATTTAATGGCAAATAGCAAAGGTGTGAGACCTGTAAAGGTGATGTATGTAAATCAAAAAGGAGACACAGTATAACTTCAGCATTCTTAGGCTTTCTATTACTAAAAATAAATAGAAAATTGTTTTGCATGCTCTTGAAATATTATAACTGAAAACCACTCAGTTACTTGAACTGCGTATGTGGCAAGAGCTGCAAGGCTGTGCCTGTCTGAAGGCGGGAGGGCTGCTGCTGAGCTGAGAGCTCAGGCACTCCCGTCCCATAACCATGCCATGGGTACCCTGGGGGCACGTGTAAGGTTGTGGTGTCTGATGTCTGGGTGAGCTTTGTGCAGCTGTGCCTGCGAGGTGGATGGAAGAAAGAGAAGGAAAGGAACACTCACAGCCTCTTCATTATCCCCTGGTTATCTGTATTTAACACAACTGTTCTCTTCTCCTACAGAAAAAGAAGCTACCAAATTCTTTTCCAGCATTTTTTGGAATGGACGTGGACAAGTTCTTGTTGTCTTTGCATTACGATGAATGAAGAAGTTGAACTGTGACTGTCTAAAGCTAGGTGGTGTTATGCTGAGGTTCTGCATGGGAAGAGGAGTTAATTCTGTAGGCTGAGTTGCACTTTCAGTGCACTGAAGTTTCACTTTATAGCAAAATCATGCTGTTTCTGAAGCAGGTTGCTAAGTGTAAATATCATTGAGTTGGTATATGTTTATTTTTTAAAAAGCACTTGCGTTAATTATAGAGCCATTTAATTTGCAAAATTGTAAATTTGTATAAATGTAATGTAAGAAAAGTTGTATGTTTCCTATTGTACCACGTTGTCTGTGTTCTGCTGCATTCTCTACTCAGCCACCCGAACCACTCAGCCAACTTGTGAAAAGGTGGTGGACTGGAAGGTGGTGTGTGGAGTTCCCCCACGGGCAGCTAACCTGGCTGCCTCCCCTTCTCTTGTTCCATCTGAAAGGGACTTAATCTTCAGGCGTAACCGCCTTGTACTAACTCTCCCTTCTCTCTTCACTGTCAAACCCATGACGTCGGGCTTTGAGTGAGCTAACAAAAATACCAGTAACTAAATGTAAGGCCAGTAAAACCTCCAGCAGTATTTCTGATCGAGTGAGCTGTAAGGTAAGGACACAAATTTGGATGGGCCTCATCTCATTACAGTGTTTGCTGCACCGGATGTTGTTTGAACACAGAAGCTGTTTTCAAACAATGTACGTTGTTGTGGGTTCAGCCCCGTGTGAATACCCCGGTGAGTTCACCCCCGTGTGAATACCCCGGTGAGAACACTTCACTGGAGCAGTAGCCAGACACGAATTTCAGAGCGTTCCGTTGCAGAAGTCAGTTCTTTTAATTGTCACTTGTACTGTTGAGGAAGCGGTTGTTCATATCACTTACACTTTCAGCCAGCCATGGAAAAAAAATCTGCATCTAACCTTTCGTTTTAACGTAGAATTTGTGATAGCTGTTACACAAACTCTCTTCAAAATGGGCGCAGGAGAAGCTCAGCCTACTTTTGGGTAATAATTAGCAAGGGTGAAAATTACCACCATAAGCCTTGCTCCAGTACTGCAGAACTTTCTCTACTGGTATTTCCTCCTTTGTTCTCAGATTGTTGAGGTCTTTAAAATGCAAGTTTTGTTGTAAGAGATCTGTACAGCAACAGGGCAATGTTTCAGATTAGTAACAAGGATTCCTAAGGAACCAATATTATGCAGTAGATGTTTATATTAAACCCATCCAATAACTAAATACTGCATAGCATTTACAGCTTGAATAAATATTTTTGGTTTAATAAAAACTTGTGTGTCTTGCATAATATTCTGTAAGTCCACTAAGCAGCTTTGAGGATACAGAAGAGTCATGTTCATCAGTCATGTTTGAAGACGGAGAGTTCAGTATTAAACACAAATTCTAACAGCAATCATCAGAGGGTCTATAGGGCAGGCAAGCAAAAAAAAATTGTCTTAAGTAAGTGGAAAATGCTTCTGACTGTTCATATTTGATACTTTAAAATAGAGTTGCTATTTATTTGAGATCTAGTGTAGCTCTTTCATGGGACAGCCACTATCCACCATGGTCCTTCTTTTTCAGTTCAGGTGATCTGGTAATGCTAAAGTTCACTTTTCAAGGATAAAAACCATCTTCAGTTCCAAGCTGCTTTCATATGGCAAATAACTTTTACAAGAATAGGTGTCGGCGCATGAATGAAGGTTAGTCTTCTTAAAATGTAGCATGTTCATTTGCTACCTCTACAAGTACATTCTTTCCCAGAAAAAAAACAGATCCCACTGCATCCCAGACAAAGTATTTATTCCCTCTACTTTATGGAGGAAAATGTAAGGACAATCAGTGGGTAAAGATGACTTCCTCTTGAAATGAAATTCAAAATCAGAAAGCAGTTGTCCCAAATCCCAGCTAAGAAACCTAAAAGTGTCTGATGTTTATCCCTTGTGGAAAGGGAGAGGTGGGAACAGGCTTTACACTGGTGAAACAGCCAGGTTTTGCCCTCTGGTAAAAAGCCTGCAGAAGAAACAGCATGAGTTTCCCCCTGAAGTCTTGAACAAGATTCATTCCAGGAAAGGAGCTTCCTGTCCCCCCAGAATTGCTAGAGGAATGCTCAACCCTCTACCCTTCTCCTAGCAGCGCTATGACTTACCAAGTGAATTCATTTTCAGTGGCAGTTGAGAAACCATCCGTCACTTAGGGAGGAGGCACAGTTAACAAACATTCTTTATTGTCAAGCATCAAGAGATTATCCTAATTCGACATTTTTTATTTGTACTGTATAAAAACTTGCACTGACTCAAAAGTAATAAAAGCCCAGTTGTCTGTATCAATAATCAATGATGTTTTAAGAAATTTTAGAGGAGCATCTGCTTTTTGATAAATAAGATGTAACAGGTACCATCATTTTGATCCGCAAGCGTTTAAGGCTTTGTTTCCAGCGCAATTTGGGGCTACAGCTTCTCTATCAATATTGCAGAAGCACCTCCTCCTCCATTGCAAATTCCTGCAAGACCATATTGTCCTTGTTTCAGCGCATGAGCCATGTGAACAACAATTCTTGCTCCAGACATTCTAAACAGAGGAAAAAAAAAAACAACATATAGAACTTAGTTTAAGTTATATTAAGCAAAAGGAAATTCTTAATTTGACCCACACAGGCTGGTAGAATATAGTATTGATTCACTGGAGAGGAAAAACCACCAACAAGAAGACTAAACAGACCCTTTCATCTACATTTAGATGCAATACAGGTTATTAAATTTAAGACCAAAAAAAAAAAAATCATATTCCCTTAACAGAAGCAGCTGCTATTGCAAAGGAGACGTTGGCATGTCTTGGGGGATTATGCCTTGGTTAGAGCTTTTTATGAACCATGAAGTACTCCTACTTGTTCCTGATGTACAATGTAGTTATTCACATCTATATTCACTTAGAGGTTTTGAAATGGGTTTTTCCTCATGGAGCTGGACTGTGCAGCAAGATCAGCCTTCGGGAGGCCTAACAGGATATACTGAAGTCATGAGTGAGTTCCAGCTGCTGGGGAACACAGCAGGTGATGTGACTTCTCTCACCAGATGACAGGACAGTCCCACCAACATCCCCAGACTCTCCCTGGCTGCTGCATTACGTGCTTGGAGACTTTTGGATTCATTGCCAAAAAGGTTTGGATAACACCTGGAATTTCACTTTGCTGATTTAAGAAAAACAAAAAGTCCCTGTACCACATCCTTCGCTATTTCCCTAAGCTTACCTGTAAATTTCATTAGCTTAACTACTTGATTAATTATTATTGTTTATTGTTTCATGTTAATAGTGGTTTGTTTTTAATACTTCATAAATCCAGATGGCTATGGTAACAAGGAAGCTCGTTACAGAAGTAGGTGATAACTAACTGAAAAGAGATCATGCTCTTTTCAAGGTACCCTGAAATTTAACACCTGAATGACGTCGCTATGTACTTGACAGCAAATTTTACTACCCTTCCTACTCACGTTAAATTTGGGAATACAGGTGAACGTGTTAGCAGTGCGTCTAGAAAACACCAGCTCTGTGCAGAACAAACCCCAGTGCTTATTTACCCACCCAATGGGATGTCCAAGAGAGACGGCGCCTCCGTTAATATTCACTTTTTGTGGATCAATACCCAGCATTTTGATGTTGGCCAGCACCACCACACTGAACGCTTCGTTGATTTCCCACATTGCAATATCTTCTTTTTTCAGGCCTGTCTCGCTTAGAATCTACAAATGATAATAAAAAATAATTACTACTATAAAAAAAATTAGGAAGCTAATTATAGAAATAATTAGGTCTGTTTTGAAGTTGGTGACTCAGGCTGCCCATAGTCCCTACCAGGCAAGGGATTCAAGTTCACATTTCAGAACCTTTGTCAGATGGGAAAAAGCAAAACTGAGGTGCTGCGGCACAAACTTTGAGTTTTCACAACAGAAGAAACAGAGAGTACCTGTGCCAGGAATGTTTTAATCACACTAAGGCTGCTGCTAGAGTAAAGCACTGCCTCGTGCCGTACGCTTGTCTTCAGTTCCTTTCTGTACTAGTCTATACTTGGAGAGCCATTTTTATTTTGCCTTTTATCTGTACTGGCTGCCAAGCTTCAAAAGTGTAAGCAAGTGCAGAGCTGCTGAAAGCAGTATAAAGCCGTCTTCTCTTTCAGAACAGGCCAGAAATTTGTTACTCTGAAAATCTGCATTCTAGCCTTGAACCTCTGAAAAACATGTGTTCTTTGTATTTATGATGTAATTATAATTTTGATGCCAATTACAGGAAAGCCCATGGAGCAATAAACCAACAATCCAGTGCTAGGGAAGTTTGTTGATTTTCAAAAACCACTGTTTTATTCCTACCTTGGGAACAGCATATGCAGGTGCAATTGGGAAGTCAATGGGATCAACAGCAGCATCCGCAAAAGCTGTAAGAATCGTAAAAGCTGTTTAAAGACCTTTTGTTTTTACCATACACAGTTTTTATTGATGCAAGCAGCAAACCCAGCCAAGATAAAAAAATTATGAATATAATGGTCTATAAAATAGATAGGTTTAAAGTTTAGTGCTTTAAGGGAGCCACACAATAACATTTCCAGATTTTTAACAGCATTCCATATAGAAAATTCTGTTTATGATCAAAAGCCTGGTACAACACTTGAAGTTTCAAAGACTGTATAGAGAAGATGCAGCTACATGCCTAAGGGCTTAACTTTTCTGTTCCAGGAGCGTCCGATAACTGGCCAAGCAGGACTCCCAGCCTGAGAGCTTACTGTGGGAGTATTTTCCAGGACTGTACTCAAAGATAAGAAAAGAAAAACCTTACCTACTATCCGTGCCAATGGTTTGACTTTCAGTCTCTTGGCTGCCTCTGTGGTCATCAGCACCAAAGCAGCTGCTCCATCGTTCAGAGTACTGGCATTAGCAGCTGTAACCGTCCCTAGACAAGGTAAAGCGTTGTTGAAACAGAGGGGAAGTGTGATACAGCTCAAGCACATCCTGTTAATGATTTGGTTTTTACCTTGGGCCCTTGAACATAAGGTCTCAACAATATGGTGATCCCTCTTGCACCAAGTTAACTAAAAATGAGTTGTTTTTTTAAAATCAGATTGATTAAACAAGTACAATCCCCTGTATTCGTATCTTTACCCAAGTGGCGGTTTAGATCACGCCTTCCACGTCAGCTGCACTGCTGGCGTTAGCACTGAATTCCAGCTCAAAA